ACTACTCCTAGAAACCTAGTGAATGAGCCCTATCCGTTAGCAATTCTGGACTTTTCTTCGCTCGACTTGACATTCCATGTAGTAATTTTGATCGCTATTGCCTAGCAGGTAAGACTACTCCGAAAGAACTCAGGGAGCACTCCTATAGGACTGACAGCCTTAGAATTGACTCTACTCGTTGAATTGTCGCCGTTGCGCTCTCCGCACAGCCTTAGTATTGACTTTACTCGTTGATTCGGACCGCAACGCGTTTTTGTCCCAATCGTCGACAAAGTTGCCCGGACGACTCCAGATGACGAAACGGACTGCGCCGACGCGTCTGGAACGTCGATTTTTCTTAAGGAGGACGTTTTCTTTATTGCAACGGCACGTCTTAGGAAAAATATCTATTTAAGTGTTTATTATAATAATAAATAATATTTCATTATTATTATTATTATTATTAATAACCTATATTAAAACTCTTAACCTGAATTTCTTTCCCCTCCCCGCCTATAATAATAAATAATATATTATTATTATTATTATTATTAATAACTTATATTAAAACCCTTAACCTAAATTCTCCCCCCTCCCCGCCTCATCCCTTCGAACCCGTGGGCCTGCCTTAGCCCTAGTATGACTCGTTCGGTCGCTCGACCCACTCCTTCGTGTCGTTGGGGAGGCTTTGTTCCCGCGTTCGCCTCTCGCACGCGGGACAGATCACGTAGGCGCCCATCCCTCGTATCCTATCTTCTGCGATATGGGCTCGATCTCCTCTGCCGCGGATCGTATTCTCTGTGAGAATCTAATCCTCCGCATCTCTCGATCCCTCTGTCGTATCTTCTTAATCATTCGTCTTCTTTGCCCTTAGCGTATATGAGAGCTCCTCTGTGAAGCTTCCAAGGGGGCCGAAAATCTTTCTAAGGGAGAAAACTCTGCTCTTTTTCTTTCTCACTCACTTCTTTGATCTTCTGGTGCTTGAATCGGTTTCCTCCTGCTGTTGGGAGAGGAAGTTAAGTTCCGGAGTGCTTTTAGAGTTTCTATGTTACCTTCTTTTTACTTCAAAGAGGTACCTTCTTCCCTCTCCCCCTATGAGTTGTCTGCCTTCGGCCCTGCTCTTTACCGCGCCCCTGCGCTTTATG